CTCTGAGCCTCCGTTTGAACCTCTGTCCCCTCTGATCGTCCATTTGGGCCTCTGTCCCCTCTGAGCCTCTGTTTGGACCTCTGTCCTCTGTGAGTCTCTGTTTGGACCTCTGTCCTCTCTGAGTCTCTGTTTGGACCTCTGTCCTCTCTGAACATTTGTTTGGACCTCTGTCCCCTCTGATTGTCCATTTGGACCTCTGTCCCCTCTGAACATCTGTTTGGACCTCTGTCCCCTCTGAGCCTCTGTTTGGACCTCTGTCCCCTCTGAGCGTCTGTTTGGACCTCTGTCCCCTCTGAGCGTCTGTTTGGACCTCTGTCCTCTCTGATCGTCCATTTGGACCTCTGTCCTCTCTGATCGTCCATTGGGATCGCTGTCCCCTCTGAGCGTCTGTTTGGACCTCTGTCCCCTCTGAACATCTGTTTGGACCTCTGTCCCCTCTGAGCGTCTGTTTGGACCTCTGTCCCCTCTGAACATCTGTTTGGACCTCTGTCCCCTCTGAGCGTCTGTTTGGACCTCAGCACCTCCAGGAGCAGCTGAACTGTAAAATGTGTGGGCAGCCAGTGGACACAGCCAGAGAGTGAGTGATGTGCTCCCTCTTAAAGTTAGATGCTGAGTATTCTGTATCAACCGGAGACATTTGAGGAAGGTCTGGATGACACCAAGGTAAAGAGCGTTAGCAAGCCAAGCTGTGATGAATGCATGAATTATTGCTTCAAGGTGTTGATTTGTTAGAAACACCTCTGTCTGTTTCCAGCTGTCTGAGATGATAAAAATGGGACTGGGACTTAAGCACGGCTCCAATCTGACAATCTAATTTAAAATCACTGTCCATTATAAAACTCAGATTAGAAACTACTGGCTTTATGAACATTGAATGGGTGGGCGGGGGGAGGGGGGGATCAACAAGGAGGTACACAGGAGCCACTGGGACCAAACACAATCACTTCTGTTTTCCTGTCATTAAAATCCAAGACGTTTAGGACCATGCAGGTTTTGTTGTCTTTACGAGACAACAGAAGTGGCTTACCTGAGAGGCATCATTCTATTTTAGTGACATCTGATTGTTGACAGCAAGCAGAGAAAGTAGAGAAAAATAGAAAAGCAGGGGACTTAAGATTAAGCCCTGTGGATCCAAAATACTGCTGTTAGAGTTCTGGTGAGAGTTAGAAGGAGAGATCCAGTTTTAGCTTCTCTCTTTCAGCTCCCTGAATTCAAAATCTTACTTCTAACCTACAAAACTCTCAACAACCTAGCTCCGTCTTGTATTAAAGATCTTATTGTTGTATTGTTTTTCCCATCAGAGCACTTCACTATCTCCGACTGCAGGTTTACTTGTGGTTCCTAGAGTTTCCAAAAGCAGAATGGGAGGAAGATCTTTCAGTTGTCAGGCTCCTCTCTTGTGGAACCAATTTCCAGTTTCTCTCCATGAGGCTGACACATTGTCCAGTTTTAAGACTTTCCTTTTTGATAAATCCTATAGTTGGGGTTGCCTTGGGTTTCCTGAACTACCCTTTAGTTATGCTGCTATACGCTTAGACCGTTGGAGGACAAATGGATGAAATCTCCTCACTCTGCTGCTGTCTTTACTTTTTAATTCAACCTTTATTCATATGGGTTAGTCTCATTGAGCCACGAAGACTCATTTACAAGAGAGACCAAGAGACTTGCGCTACCTTCATTACCTTCATTTGCACTCATTTATATTACAGCAGTCCCTCGATACTTCACGATTCAACTTTTGCAGACTCACCGTTTTCAGTTTAAGATTGTACACGACACATGATTAGCTGATTGATGGAAGACGACCAACCAGAGCATTGTGCTCTGTATCTCCAGCGTTGATTGGCTCAGTAACCATAGCATCTGTCTGCTCTCTTTCGCTGTGCTCTTTTGTGAAATTTTCACAATAGTCTGGATTTATTTCAAGTCCTACAATGCCACCCAAAAGTTCTGCACGTTCTAAGGTTTCAGGCAGCAAATCCAAGCACCTGAGGAAGATGCTTACCATAAAAGAGAAGGTGGAGCATCTCGACATGTTGAAGGAAGGCAGAACCTACGCGGCTGTTGGCCACCATTATGGGATCAACATAATCTACGGTTCGCTATATCAAGAAGGACGAGAAGAATATCAAGTCTATGGCAGCAGTGACTTTCAACAAGACTGCAAAGAGGGTGGTCACTTCCCGCAATAAGACGATCGTGGAGATGAAATCCGCATTAGCCGTGTGGATTAATGATTTCTAATAGCACTGTACAGCACAACACGATGTTGTTAAAATTACTTTATCTAGGTTTAAGAGTTTAGAACATCGTTAAGAACATGGCAAGAGTGTGGGAAGGGTTTAAAAAGCTTTAATATATATATATAAATACTAAAATAAATCTAACATCCCTACTTTGTGGATTTTCACCAATCGCGGGGGTGTCTGGAACGTAACCCCCCACGATAAGTGAGGGACTACTGTATTCATATCTTTTTATTTGTCTGTCTTCCTATAGAAACTAGATATGAACCATAGAAACTTCACCTGGACCTTAGACCATATTCATTCATATCCATCTACTCGCCACAGACTCATGTTCAGGCTGCTGTTACGCCATATTGTTTTACATTATTAGTGTTTAACGTATCTTAGATCTTTTAACGTAATGTTTGCCGTTCGTTTAGTACATATCTTAGTGTAGATCTTTATGTCCTCAACTTTTTTGAGTTTATCTTAGATCCTTATTTACTGTTTCTTTTACACTTTATATTTTAGCTATTTTTGGGTGTAACTGGGACCCTGAGTACACAATTTTGTTCCACCTCATGTACCACATGTGATGCGAACGACAATACACTGGACTTGAACTTGAGAAACTACATTTGAACTGTTATAACTAACCTGGACCATAGAAACTACTTCTAAACTACAGAAACTACACCTGGGTCATAGAAACTAGACATGAACCATAGAAACT